TTTCACCGACCAACACAACCAATGTGCCTCCTCCTGTATGTCCGTTTCAGAGCACCCCTTATCAACAGAAAGAAGAGGGGCTCAGAGCGACCCCAATGAAGCCGCCCCAAAGTGAAAAAATACGTCGAAAACGTTGCGCGAGTTTCCTTTGATCTGTTTTAAAAAACCGCACTAGTACCGATGACGAGAGAACGTGAGCCGAGAAAAAACCCCCCGTTTAACGCTTGGTTTGTGGCACTTTGGGGGTCGATGGGAAAAACGAGGGATGAATGCGGACTAGTGGTGCCAAACAATTTTTGAACAAAATTTTAAATTTGTCCACTAAAAGGGGATTTTTGGGACCAAGGTTAGCTGCGAAATATTGCTTTTAGGGCTAGGGTTTTTTTAGTGGTTAAGATTTTAGGGGATTAGGAGATGATGTTGAAAGGAATGTGAAATTTTTTTGTGTTACTAAAAACCTCAAGAATTTTTTTAAAAAAGGGAAAATTTTGTGCCGAGAGGACAAAGGTCCGGAGCGAGAGAGAAGTCAATAATTAAGGCTATAATTTCGAGGAATAACCCAGGAATATATTTTAAGGGATTTCATCAAAAAACCCAACATTAGAACGGAAAAAAAAGATTCAAGAAACAAAAATCTGTTTTAATTCCCAGAGGCCCACCGGAAAAAAAAGTAAATTTTTGGGTGGGAAATTTAAAATCTTTTATCTGCTATGTGAAAAGTAGAAAAATCTTTGGGGTTGGGGGGTTTGGAAAGGGAAAGTTGTAACGAATAGGGAAATTGCAAAAAACGTTGTCAAACAAATCGGTCCCAAAGAATCGTATAATCTAAAAACCCGCGTAATGGTGAAGCAAAAACGATTCATTTAAAGAAGACGAATTAATTGAAAATAAGTTTCTGTTGTTTCAAATAAAAAATATTGTTCCTGATCTCGATTTGTTAATTTTCTATTTTTTTGGGTTTTTTTATGAAGTTAGATTAGTGAATTTTGTACGTGATGAAAGGAAATTACTATATTTTGGGGGATCAGTGCAAGAAAAAACCCAATAAAAAGATGATATCGAAAACATTGATATGGTATTTTTTTTAAACCTAGACATGACATTCAATGTCAGTTTTTTTTATTTATGACCATATAATATAGCTTGAAGAAGGCTAGATAGTGGCACAGAGGTGTTAACTTTTACGTTTCACAATTTTTAAAATACGTAATAAACAAAAAAAGGCCTGAGGGGTCTATGGGCGGAACATAAAAAAAAGTTTTGTTCCTTTTTGCTTTTGGTAGCAGTTTGCTATATTTAGAAAAAGGAAAAAGATGGGAGCGTCGATGCGCCACCAAAGTGTCAAAAAAGGTTTTGTTAAACATTTTTAGGTCCGCTCCCATCCACTCTTTTTTAAAAAACGGCTTTGGGGTTAGGGACCCCCGGTCTCAACAAAGTTCCCAAGAAGTGTCGGTTTAAGAAAGTCTTTTAACATTTTTCGTCTTTTCCCCATCCGTCAGAGCGTGAACGGAATTAAGCACTTCGTTCCAATAAGTAAGTTTTTTTTCGCTAATAAAAAAAAAAAACAGTTTGCCCAAAAAATTTAGTTATATTTTAAAAAGCTGTTTTGGTGGTTTTTGTGTTCAATTTAGTGGAGAGTTCTTTTAACGTTGGAATAGCATTGGCGAGATTGGCGATAGTTCTGTTTTCGTCCCGTCGGGGTTACATCGTACTGTGGGTTGAGTGCTGACAAATGCAAAACTTTATCGCGAGCGTTACAATCAAATATATATAAGTTTTATTTCTTTGAGAGAAACATGATAAGTGATATTTCATTACCGTTATAAGCGCCCGTAAATATAGCTGTCATTAAATATGGGGCAAACGCGATGAAGACCTAATATTACCATTGAACGATTCCGTTAGTGCTACTTTAGACACAAATGTAATGTGCGCTAAAACTTCGGTCTGTGCCCGACAAGATCTTATTGAAGACGAAATCTGGCTGAACAAGGAAAAGGTACCATTTTCTAAACGACTTCAGAATTGCCTGAAAGAAATAAAAGCTAGAGCCGCATCGGAAAACAGCGTTGATCCCATATTTCTCCATTTAAAAATACGCGCTTGCTCAGAAAATAATTTTCCAACAGCAGCAGGATTAGCGTCTTCGGCTGCAGGTTACGCGTGTTTTGTATTTGCCCTAGCTAAATTGTACAAGGTGAAATCTGATATCAGTTTCTATTGCAAGATTGGGTTCTGCAGTGCTTGTAGGAGTGTGTATGGAGGGTTTGTTAGATGGCATGCAGGTTCGAAGCCAGATGGCTCTGATTCTGTAGCTACTCAAATCGCTGATGCATCCCATTGGCCAGAAATGAGAGCCTTAATCCTTGTAGTTGGTGACAAAAAGAAAGAGACTAGTTCAACTGGTGGAATGGCAGTCTCTGTTAAAACTTCAGAATTGATGAGACATAGAGTAGAGTATTGTGTACCACAGAGAACCGAACTCATAGTTGATGCGATCAAGAATAAAGATTTCCCAAAATTTGCTGAGATAACTATGAAAGACAGTAATCAATTCCATGCAATTTGTTTGGACTCATATCCACCATTCGTTTATATTGAATGATATTTTCTCATTCTATTGTTGGACTGATTCATAAATACAATGAAATTTCTGGTAAAGTGAAGGTTGCTTACACATTTGATGCAGGATCAAATGCTTGTCTCTATCTCCTCGAAGAAGATGTTTCAGAAGTAATCTCTTTGATAAAGCATGTTTATCCTCCATCAATTCCAAGGGTTTTTGTAACTGGTCTTTCATATGTGGAGATGTAAACTCTAAAATTCTAAAAATGTTTCAACCCAAAGACAAAGATTTGATTAAGTATGTTATCTATACTAAAGTTGGGGATGGTCCATCCTGAAGTAACTGATGGCTCTCATCTTTTAAATAGGGATGGATCACTTATACATTTGATGTAATTTTATTGAAGTTAACATTTCAAGGACTAGTATTTTTAGGGGAAAGTTTATTTAAATAATGTATTTTTAGAATAAAAATTGTTATTAATTAAATGGTACACCATGACAAAAGAAATTGTTAAAACTATGGTTAAGAAGTTTATAACTTATATTTAATTTTCCTATTGATTGTTATTATAAGTCCTAGACAATCTGACAATATTATAGAGCTATACACCACTCAACAATCAGTTAGAAATCAGTTGGAGATCACTTTTGTGACAGATATTCACTGATTTGTTACATATTATGAAACAAATATTTTCTCTTTTTTTTTTCAAATTTTGAACTGTTAACAGTTTAGAAAACTGTAACATAATAATAAGTACAGTGACATAAGAATCTCTTTCACTGAATAATAATAATAATGTAAGTATATTAGTATTTAAAAAAACATGTATGATACAATTATTGTGTAATAAATAAAACAATGTTTGTAATTACAATTACAACAATTATTTGTCACTAAATGTATGTAAAGGTTGTGGGGATAATGCAATTTAAATGTTTTTTACCAGGGTCTTTTAAAGTGAATAATAAATATATAAACTTATATTTCCGAAAGTATATTTAACTTTAATCACTTTCACTATTAATATGGTGGTTTCTGTAAGGCGGGCTGTTTGCTGGTTTGACATGTTAGTGGAATAAAGAACTTAATATATTAAGTTAATGTGCAGCTCGATAATGAGTGTTGAATGAACTAACTAGTTAATTCAACTCCAATAAACAAATCAATTGTTCATCAACTGTTAGTAGACTAGCTGAATCCATAAAACTATCTATCGATCATACTGAACTATAACTTCAGTATGTTAGTTGATACATTTGAAGCTTTTGAGCATTGATACAGTTGAAGCTTAGTTGGAATATACCGTGGGTGTCGTAAGAGCAGACTAACGGGGCAAACTACACACTACCAACCCGTCTGGCTAGTGTGATATAGTAGGGCAAAGGCCTTTTTAAGTAGAGGCCTTTGGCTCTTGACGATGATGCCGAGATAAAAGATGGCCGGAACATTGATTTAAAAAAAAACCAGTACCGTGGAATACGAATATTGCGAATCAATCCCATGTTCTGCGACTTTTCATCCTTATCGAATCGGGGGGCAAGCGAGCAGACGGGTCACCAGATGGTGAGTGACTACCCCTAGTAATGAACGCCTGCAACTCAAGAGTCATAAGCGCGTTCATCATCCTCATCAGCCTATTGCCGTCCACTGCTGAACGAAGGCCTCCCCTTGGCCTCCGTGGCTCGCTGTCTGTGTGACTGTGTGCACTGAATTGTCTCTGTGGGCAGTGCCGGTCCTATCAAAAGTTTTAAGTGGTGCGAGGTCTAAAACTGGCGCCCTTCTAAATGAAAACGCTCAATTGTTAAGCAGTTGCTTTATTTTCCGTCAGAATAAGCAGCGGCCGCTGCTTATTAAACCGAATTACTGCTATCAAAAATGTCCAATCGTAGAAAAGTTCGTTTGACCAGTAGACCTAGAATTAGGAAATTTGGCAAAAAGAAACGTCTTACAGCACAAATAAAGGAATAATTCCAAAAAATAAAAAATTAAGTTAAATTTTGGTACTTACAAATTTTCGCGAAAATCTACGTAAAATCTGGGTAGGTACCTAGGCTCGTACCTGACCGGTTTTTTAAAAGGGTGTATGCCTATTTTACTTAATTTTGTCTCCCGCTTTGCTAAGGAGGAAAGTGGATTTACTGTATTTCAAACTCCTCCAATTTTCTTCTGATTGTGCACTAGGGAACAAGCACGCGCCAACGTGTAAGTACGTTGCAAACCCTTGCCGCGAGCTTCCTTTGATCTGTGTTCAAAAACCGACACTAGTACCGATCGATGATGTGCAAAAGCGAGCCGAGCTAAACACCCCGTATACACGCTGGTGTTTGTGGACACTTGTCGAGGCTCGCCATGTGTGTAAACGTTCAATTGATTTCGGCACCCCCCCTTGATGGCGCCCGGTGCCGTCGCACCGCTCGCACCGCCCTAGGACCGGCCCTGACTGTGGTGACCAGTGACATTGACACTGGCTTGGTCACCATCTTGGATCTTAAGTTTAATAACATAAATTTAGTCGATAATGTATCGAAATTTAGGCATTTATCTCTCTCTGACATTTCTAAGGACTTAAAAGTAGAAGTAGGTAAGACATTGGTAAGGTAAGACATAGGTAGTGCAGTGGAGCAATACCAATAAGCTGTACTTTAACATAGCTAAATGCGGAGTTATGAGTTACAGCCGGGCTAGGGCTCCACTGCGCTACACATATGAAATGGACGGTGCGTTGATGCCGTACTTTAATAGCATCCGATATTTAGGAGTCGAAATGGTGCCCGAGTTGACGTTTCGTAATCATATCGTTACTACATGCAGTAAATCATTTAGAAATTTAGGATTCATTTTGAGAAACTGTAAAGATTTTAATAACACGTCAGTGGTGAAAATATTGTACAATGCTCTCGTTCGTAGTCATCTAGAAGCGACCGCTGTAATTTGGAATCCTCATGAGGCTAAATATAGCCTTATGGTGGAAAAAATCCAAAACAAGTTCGCTCGATTTCTGTACTACAAAGAATACGGGGTGTACCCACTATACCCGCTCATGTACCCAAGCTTATTCGTCCTCGGCATGGTCGGGTACGTGCGCCTGAGCGTGAGGCGAGACGTGGCGCTGGTGACATACGTGTGGCGCGTGATGCGCGGTCGTCTGCACCAACCCGACATACTGGCGAGTTTGCGGCTGTGCGCCCTTCGTCCTTCCGCTGAGCGTTCCCGTAACGCGAACAAATTTACTTCGATATGCTCCTATATCACGCGCCATAAGGCTTATTAATATTATTTCAATACAAATAGATATCTACAACTGTAGCCTGCCGAACTTCAAAGAAGTCGCACAGAGATGTATTACAGCAAATGATTTTTATATATAAATAACTGTTACTTACTGTTTTTACTTACAGTATCGTTTTGGGATAAATCCTGTAAAGACACTGTAATTGTTTTTAATAAATAAATAAATAAATATTTTTTCGTAAACTCTGCGATGTAGCTCTTAGGCTATACTCTTAGACCTTAAAAATTGAGATCATTATATATCCTAAAGTAAGACCCGACAAATTCTGATATTTGGTGACAAATTTTGACTAATTATCGACGAAATTTTTGAGAAAACATCTTCGTTGCCCTGCTGGGGAGAGTGCCCCAGCAGGGCCCCCTATAAACGCTAATAACTTTTGAACCAGTGACCGACAAATTCTGGTATTTGGCGAGAAATTAGCGACTAAATTTGGAAGAAACAGATCTTCGCTAGGTGCCGAGTTTTGACATACAAGTGTGGCCCTGCTCGGGAGACTGACTCCAGCAGGGCCTCCTATAAACGCTTATAACTTTTGATCCAGTGACCGACAAATGCTGATATTTGGCGACAAATTTTTGTGTTATCAAAAATTAAAATCCATAATGGTGGCCCTGCCAGTGACACTTGGTTATGGCGTAAAAGTAGGTCACTCGTGCTATGTCCGTATGGATTGAGGAGCTACTTTTCATATCTCAATGAAATTAATTTTATTATTTAGTGGTAAATTTAAAAAAAATGTAGTATAATGAACATAAAAGTTCTGACGTGGCTCCTCAATCTAAATGTTTGGATTGAGGAGCCACGTCAGAACTAGAAACATAATGGATGTATATTCATCATACTTTAGTTGTAGACAAAATCTAAGCTCCTTGATGTTAAAATTAAAAAAGTTACCATATAATACGACTCATTTTTCAGAGAATTAGTCTTTCAATTGATGCGAAATTCCTTCATCATTTAGTAGTAAGTAGGTATATTAAATTTGTAGTTAGAGTCAGTTATTAAAACTTAGTGAATTGGGAGACATGGTGCATTTTAACTGGCTCCTCAGTTAAGATGCTTCTGTAAATAGATTTGACTTTAAAAACTTATACTTGTGAGGAAATTTGGAACATAAAATATTTTATGTTTTCTAAACATTTCTAATTCTTTTATCTAAATGAACGTATAATCCTGTCATAAAAAAAGTACAGTATCTACGAAGTTATTAGCTTTTCTTAAATTTTCTGACAATTTTTTTGTAGGGTTTGCATGAATAACTTAAATAAAAGGTATTTTTTCGTATCCGGAAATGACCACTTTCTTGAAATGACTATCATATCTATGCCATGGTATGCGGCAAAAAGTGGTCATTTCATAAAAGTAGTAATTTCAGGAAAGTGATCATTATCGACGTAAAGGGTAAAAACAGAAATCTACTTTATTTTATTTCATCTAATTATTTGAGGGTAACTGCAAATTAATGTATAGAATTTATCTAACTAACTACATGTCACTACTGCTCACTACCCAACGAAGGATGAGATGTTTTGTTACGATGACTGTGATTCTAAATGTAAAATTTGTCAAAGCACCGACCATCCAATATTAATTCTTTGTATAGCTTATTCCCGAATTGATTAATAAATACTAATAACTGAAGAATTTCTGTCCATACCTATATTTCGATAATTGTCGATGTGTTTATAACTAAGTTTCAAAAACTAGTTCTTGTGATTTTACATTTTGACATGGTCAC